ACCTTCTCCATCTCCTCCCAGTTGTAGTCGTTGTTGCCGACCACCATGGCCATCAGCTCAGAGGGCTGGAACAGCGACAGGATCTCCCCCCCGCACACCTTCAGGAAGCCGGAGGAGAAGGCCGAGTACTGCTCGCTCACCGAGTCTGAGAACACGTAGCGCAGGTAGGCCTCCACAAACTCCTTCCTGAAACACACACACACACACACACACACACACACGTTAAGTAAACATTCAGATCATTAATTTGTTCTTCACCGCAGCTGCTTCCTCACAAATCAGTTTATAGGAAAGAATTTAATCAGACTTCAAGGTGTGACTGTAAACACTCTCTTCCTCTTCTATTGTGTCTAACTAACCCTTAAATGTTGTTTTGTTTTCTTTATATTTCCATTAGATATAATATTGCAGCCATAAAAGCATGACATTCATTAATGCTTCACTAAAAACAAGCATCATAGAAAAACAAACAAAACGTGTCACTTCAATGACATTTGAGCAGCATATGATGTAACATATCTGATAGACAACAGGACTGCACCTATAGACCTGTATTTGACATTTAGACCTGTATTAGAAATTTAGAATATTTCTATTTTAAACTTTAAAAATATTATTGTTATTATTATTATTATTATTATTATTATTATTTATTATATCATCATCATCATCATGTTATCTCATTGAGATTATGCAAACACAAAAAAGGTCAGAAGTTAAAAGTTCAAATTCATCAATACAAAGTTTTTGTAATTAATTTTATCTATATGGTGGAAAGTACTGAAGGGCATTGAGTTAATACATTAATTTAACAGAACTACCACTTTCTGAGGAACAAACTCCATAATACCGACTTCAGCATGAACAGGGAGGTGTTAACTGTGTCATTTAAAATTCCAAACATTACTGAACAATCACACAACCATTTTCTCTATTAATTCTGTTATTACACTTTTATATCAGAGTGTTGAGGGGATTTTGCAGGAACAACTTGGGTCACTGCCGCTCTCGCCATCTGTTCAGCGGCAGCAGCCAGACATGTTGACACCGCCCACCCAACAAATCTCTGCGGACTCCTCCACATAACAACGTAATCAATGCCACTCGCACAAGGACGAGCAGGGTGGTGCTGGTGGAGAAAAACACACTGAATGATGCTTAAAATACCAAAATCTTTGTTTTCAACACAGAACATGACCTTCAGTTGGAACAATGGGACTCGCGCTGCCAGCTGTGCGAGCACATGATAATCTCAGTTATGGAAAAAAATATATATATTTATATATTAAAAAAACTCAGTCAGCTGTTGATCCTTTAGAAAGAACACAGTGTAGAGCATTAAAAACATTTTTAAAAAACAAGGTCACTTCAAATGGGACATCAAATGAAGGGAGAGTTGATGAAATTATACCGAAAACTACATTACGGGCAGTACATATTTGATATGTTGAGCTGCCTCACCTGTTGTTTTTGTCCACACTGACGCTCTCTCCACCAGGAATGAGCTCCTTGACTTCTGTTATCCCATAGTTCTCCCTCGTGATCTGAGACGTGAACACAACAAACCGTCTTAGACAGGAGTTTTAGTAGAGTGTGGACATTGTGGGGTGTTTGCTTGTAATTATAATTCAACCGTTTTCAGTTAAAGGATAAGTCTGGTGACATTACATATTTTTCTTATTGTCAACAAATCACATGAAAAGACCAAAACTAACAATGAACAGATTATCTAACCAGTATTGTCTGTATTGCTAAAGGCTGACATATACCTGTATCTCATTTCTCTGGGTCATAGAGCTCCATTGTTGTACCAAAACTATTGAAAACACTCATCACTGAGTCACACTGTTGCACCTGGTGACATATTCCTTTATTTCAATGAACATGAACCCTGCAGATCCCACATACAGGGGGTGGGCAGATCGTTTTGTTTTAAGTATTGATAATAGTGTTCATAGGATCAGCATCAAAGAAACATTCTGAGCACATAAACATTTCTTCTTAGTACTTTTTATTTTGTGTGCATGCGCACAGCTATCACCTCGTTAGTTTAAAAAATTCACACAATAAACAGTTTTCTTATTTACTATTAAAAACACACATACATGTGTTTAACAAATAATTACAAAGGAAATGCTTGGCATATTAGATGTCCGGCAAATCACTCAGTGGCAATAAAAAAAATATACCAAAGCCTATTAGTGATGCATTAAAGTCATAAAGTATAATAGTATATAAGCGTCTTAATAATTACAAGTTAATAATTACAAGATTCTGGTTTTGTATTTCTTGGTACCAGATCAGAACCACATTTCGTGGTACCACCCACCTACTCTATTTGTGCACTAATCCGCAACTAAATATAGGAACACTTAAAGCTCCAGTGCACAGCTGTTTCAGGAAATCTCAAAAATAAAACACTGCTTTTGTGACCTATATTTTTTTTCTTACTGTTCTTATTTTTTTTAAACATCTTGCGTTGTGCCACAGGATAAGGGTATGGAAGTCGGACAGTTTCAAGAGACAGATTATCACATTGTTGATTTGGTCTTTCATGGGATTTTTTAAATCAGAACAATCCAAAAACCATATCCTTAAAGTTGGCATAAATGAGAGTAACAAGTGAAAAGCAGGGTTGGGCAATAAAACAATAATGATAATTATCCCAATATAATTTTCCTCAATAACAATATAACAAATGTTCAATAAATGTTTGATTACATTCATTTGAATCGTGAACGAATTAGCACTTAATTTTTCTATTAAGATTTTTATTTTGTTGAGGAAAAGGAACTGAAAAAAGATTTTACTTTATTTTACTCTGCATAATTGTTGATTGTATCATAATTGTTTTGAATGTTCTACCTCAGATTTGTTATGTGATCCACTGTTTGGAAAGTGTTTCTCATGTTCTGACCATAAAGAATAGTTTTAAACCACAATTAACCATCTGGTTTCTTCAGTGTCCACTCAGGAGCAAAAATCAGCCTTTAAACTCGAAAGAAATAATGATTTGACAATTATCGTGATAATTATCAATATTGAATGATATGAAATGTCTTATCGTAACATTTTTGGCCATATCACCCAGCCCTAGTGAAAAGCGACACGTACAGCAAAGTTGAGGAGAAACGTCTCCTCCACATCGCCTCCTTCATAGTCTAGAAGTTGTTGTAGACTCCTGCAGAAGAATAAACAGAAGGAAAGGATGTTTGAACAATACTATTAATACACAATCATGGCAGTGGAGAAAAACACACGCTAATAATCTTATTTATGTGAGGTAAGAAACAAAAGAAAGGCCAAAATCACCATCATTAAACATTTTCACATTAGCACACCATGAGGTGAGCAATGAATTAGTACATTTCATTAGAAAAATACCTCCTTCATGCATTTCATCATCGTGCATAGCAGAGGACTTGATAGCGTAATAATAGCATCTTCATTTCAGAAATATCTCAGAAATATCTGAGTCATACGTCTGTTTTATCCATCTTAGACAGTTTATTGTATTCAGGATTAAATCTGTCCCTGTTTGACTTTTAAAATGAAAACCAGGCATCCGCTGTGCCTTTGCAACAGCTGCATGGATCAAACAGATAGGGAAGACCCAAAATTGTCTGTTAGATTAAAATTTAGATTAGATTAGAAGTGAAGTGGTTACATTCGCTATTAATCCAATAGAGGGAGTGCTGTGTTACTTTTCCTGCAAAGAACATGCATTTACCATCACAACACAGGAAATGTGGAAAGAGGACAGGTGGGCTGGCACAGGAAATGATAATTAGTGAAAGATAATCAAATACCAATTTGACCCCAACTACTGCCTAAGGTCATTTTGCAGTCCAAGACATAACAAATGAATCTTATCATTTAAAAAACGCTTATCTGTTTCTTGTCAGTGTGAGGTAGCCAGTGTGCTGACTTTAGTTTGTCGAATCTTTAAGGCAGTCAAAATAAAAGCGTAACATGTGAAATGTTTTTCAAGATCCTGTCCTTTAAGGTTGTGTTGTCTTTAACAACAACACTACAGGCTGTGCAGCACTAGCTGCAGCTTTCAGAGGACTAGTCTAAAAATCAATAGTCAACTGGACACAAAAAGCCACTGAGGAAATGCTTACTCTTTCTGCTCCAAATTCAATCAAGAGGCATTTCCCAGTGGCAATCTATTTCACCGCTACTTAAAAAAAATGATAAAACACACTGGTTATGTAATTGCGTGACACACCCTGCAGACACACTTGAAGAGCAATTTTTTAAGTGCGTCTTTGAGTACAACTGGATTTGGGACTGGTGCTTTACAATTTCTCATTATTTAGTTACACTTGTGGAGCAACAGATGGCAAGAATTTTCTCTTTAAAATGGACAAAACTAATCCGGTAACAAGTTCCCAATTTTAGACCAGTAGACCTGCCGCAATATGCAGACACACTTAAGACAAACTGTTTTGGGCAGCAGGTGCCATGTCAACATATTCTACATTGCTGTCAAGATGTCCTGCACTGCAATCCCCTCGTCTTTAAAGGACAAGTTTGTCAGATTTAGGGGGATCTTGTCAGAAATATAGGCAGAAATTGAATATAATATCCATAAATATGTTTTCATTAGCTTATAATATATAATAATAATAATCACCTGAAAATTTATTGTGTTTCTGTTACCTCTGAATGAGCCCTTTATAGCTATAGAGACAAACAAATACTGGCTCTGAAGACGGCCTTTTGTATTTTTCATGAGTTTAGCGGCCACCGTAGGTTCTGCTACATGAATGGTACGAGAGGTTGAGGAAAACAGTTATCAGTTGGTACTCTTAAGCTCAAAGGAGCTGGCTAGTTACCTGGCCTCTGTGGGTGAGAGCTCCTTGAAGTCCTCCAGTGTCGGTGAGACATCAAGCAGCTTCTTGTAGAGAACCAGAGGGAAGTGGAGGTCCACCACTGTGGAGTTGTAGATGGCCAGACCGCAGATGATCCCAATCAGGTGAAACCAGTTCTGCTCAACGAAACACTGGAAACACACACAAGAAAATTATTTTACTAGTACAAGAAGAACAAGTGTAGCCTGGCTGAACGCAACTGACAACATCTCACATTCCTTAAGCTTAAAAAGAGATGATGATACACCAGCCGGAAAAATTCACATCATTTATTATTCAAAGATTTAAAAAATGGTATTTACACGCTTTTCTAATTCTAACCCACTGGAGCCTGGTGATCATTTTTACACCGTTTTCAGCCGTCTGTTAAACAAGTTAATATGACAAATACAAGGTTGCAAAAAAGCATATTGACCTTGGATGACAGAAAAAAAGGTAATGGAAAAGAAGACGTAATGATGATTCTGTTTCATTGCTGGATCACTATCATGTTACTAAAGTAACTAGTGATTCTTAAAGTTCGGGGACATACCCCTTATGTTACTTCCTTATAGAGGTAAGTGTAAAGCTGAATTTTCCCACTGGCCTATGTCAGAAGCAGCAGCTCTTCCTGGAAAATACAGCTGAAGTTCAAATCACTCACATTCTGGAGATCCACTATAGGCTTACTGTTATCACCTGTTAAAGGTGGGCTAAGCGATTCTAATTCAACACATCTTTTTGTCATTTTCAGCGAATATCTCCATACAGTCTGCTAGCGGTCCATTCAGGTATTTGTACACAGCCCTGGCACTGTAAACAGATACAAACAAAGTTGCCCGCACTGTGCTTCACAAAATTATTCCAGCCTTTCCAGCCATGATTTGTGTATCAGGTAACGTTAAATGACTGCCCATTGACATTCAGCTTACTTTCTAGCTTGCAAAGATACAGTATGCTGTTGTATGCTATAGCATCAGGAGAGTTGTGAGTACTGCTGCCTGGAGCTGGTGTGCTGGCTCTGGACCATCTCGTCCTCTCTGCATTTTAGCTTTGCAGCAGCAACTGTAGCGACAGTATGCTATAAATTTGGTATTGTATTTGTCCAGAATCGCATACCCCACTTTAATAAACCAAGAAAACAAAATCATGACAAAAAGGTTCAAACCAAACTCCCAAACAAAATGTTAAGATACTGACATAGTTGCAAAACTCTAAACTGCCTTTTAAGCAACAGCTGCTAAATGTGTCTCTAACTCTGCATTTCATGGGTTTGACAAACTTAATGATCTGTCACCGCCTCTCGTCACCAGGAATTATACAAAAGACAAAGTAAGAAACAAGTGAGGAAATGCTCATAGTGTTTCACTATATTCAGCAGTATCAATTCTAATTTATTATGAGAATTCACAAAGATATTATGTTTGCAGTTATTAATTTTTATTAACTTGCAATAAGTACGTTTAGTAAGTGACTCTTTTTACATCATTAGCTTGTGAATACAAACTAATGATGCTTTTGAATCCTGCAGAGTGACTTACTTTGTCTGAGAACCACAGCAGGTTGGACTCATTGTAATGAGTGAACATCCCATATACAGGATCCAATAGCTCCTTTAACAGCAGCAGGAAGAACTCTTTAGTTACTCCACCTGCATCTACGGCCTCCTCTCCATCAAAGATCACCTGGAGGAAATGCATAAGGAAAATTACAAAAAGTACAGAGGGAAAGTTATTCTTTTATCAAAATTACTGAACTACAGTGACCTTCAAAAACTTAGGCGTAGCTCTCACCTTGAGCGGTTTCTTGAGGTCCACATCAGAGTACATGGTGAGCTCACGTAGTGTGTCACTTACTAAATGGTTCCTGCGCACATGGAGCACCAAGTAAGGGTTCCTAGCAAGGTGGGGTTCCAGTGTGAGCAGCATAAAGACATTGTGCAGGTTTGCACCACTGACTGCCATCTTGGTAACAGCCACAGGTTGAGGTGGGGAAAAACAAGGCAAAAATATGGTAACTAATTATATAAAACCTCCACCATTTAACCAAAATCAGTGATATAACTGTATGAAACCACAAGAAAACTCCTTTTAACATTCACAGCAGGTACCTGCATTTGCAGTTCAGCATCTGTTTGCAGCATAGTGGTCTTGGCTTGAGCGTTCAGTATGAATGGGTAGGCACATAGGTTCACTGAGGGAAAGTCACTCTGCAAGGAAAATTAGGAAATATACTTAGAGATCAAATGAATATAATGTAATATGATATTTTTGAGTTCAATGTTTAAATCAAGTACCTGCGCAGGGGAGGATGATCCCACTTTCTAGAAAACAAAGTGAGAGAGAAGTCTCAAAGTCAGCAACACACCCACAAACAGTTATGGATAAATTTCACACATTGTCTCTGTAGACAGAGTATGACATGAGTTAAGTGTGTGTGTGTGTGTGTGTGTGTGTGTGTGTGTGTGTGTGTGTGTGTGTGTGTGTGTGTGTGTGTATTCAGCCGATGTCAAGTAACAAGGAAGTGAAACATTTTCAGAGAACGTCAGTACTCACAATCTCAGCTTTACTCAGAAACCATTTGAGGTAGTCTTCCTGGATGTCCACCAGGCTGGTGATGTCAGGGATATAAAAGCGGTGGTACTCCACATGGCCCGCCTTTAAGTTTACCTGGAAACATAGAACAAACACCTGCCTCAACTCTAGGAAAAGTGTACATGGCAGTCTACAGATTAGGAACCAGGAAAAACACACTCCCTCCTCAGAATGCACTGACGGCTGGTCAAAAGGAGCATAAGGTAACCCGTGTGGATACCTTGTGGAGTTTCTCCAGCAGCCTCAGCGTGGCAACAAAATAATTCTCATAGAACACTGGTACGAGCAGCGTCTTGCCTCCCGTTAGCATAAACACAACGATGCTCTTGTACATGTCGACCATTCTGGTGAACACACTGCCGTCTACAATACACCACCAGTTATCTACAGGGACAGAGAAAAAGATCAACTTAACCTACAGAGCAAATACCTCACTCGAAGGAAACATGGCATGTCATTGGTTTCTTCAGTATATCAAAACACTCACAGCAAACAAATCTAGGTGTTAATATTTCTGTGTTCTAGCATATTCATGCACGAACACTGCTAAGTTATTAAGAGGAAATAAATGTGGAAAAGCAGGGTCCACATACTGTTTGTATTGTGTATTTGTAGGTATTGCTCAGGGCCAACTTGAAAAGCATTTATTTAAACATTTCTGCAAGGTTAAACATTATCAAGTCGTCCAGAGTTCAGCTACCGACTGAACGTTACCTCTGTGAAGAGTACTTCTGATCTTCCCAAATCGACCTCCATCACCAGACAGGCTGTTTACTGTTTGATGATGTTTGGTGTATCTTAAATAGCACAGGTGACATGGATGTGAATGAGGACACGGACATGCTGCAGGTGCCGGAGGTAAGCTTCATGTGGTGTGATGCTACATGGTGCCACAGGGTTTGATGTGACATGACGATCAATATGATGATATCTATTTACACATATACACTGAACAAAATTATAAACGCAACACTTTTGTTTTTGCCCCCATTCATCAAAGGCCTATTTCTCTCAAATATAGCTCACAAATCTGTCAAAATCTGTGTTAGTGTGCACTTCTCCTTTGCTGACATAATCCATCCACCTCACAGGTGTGCCATATCAAGATGCTGATCAGACAGCGTGTCTTGATCTTTGAGTTCAGCTCATGATTAATGGGGGCAAAAACAAAAGTGTTACATTTATAATTTTGTTCAGTGTAGATATAGATATAGACGTATGTAGTGTGTGCAGGCAAGTACGATACCCAGTACTTTGCTGGGGTTGGCGTCTAGCCGGAGGATGGCCATTGCCAGGGGAATAGTGAGGCGGATGTAGTTCTTGGAGTCCAGCAGTGCCGGGTACTCAGACAAGATGAGGTAGATCCTCATGGCCTCGACGTCAGGAGGGGAGCGTGGCAGCTGAGGGATCAACAGACTCTCAAAACTCTTGCTGGCCTAAACAGAAGGTCGGACACAGAAAGAGGGAGAACATGTGTAACAGGTTGTGTATATTTCTCATATATTTCTCTTTTAATGAAAAAAAACAGCATTTATTGTTATAGCGAGTGAAAAGTATTTGAAATGTACTGTACTATGAGGCTACATGTATTAATAAAGAGAGACATTGATAGGATATTGTTCAAATTGAAAACAGTTTGGATTAACTAGGCAGTCGCTATTTTGAGAGGGGCACTTAGTGGTTTGGAATGAGACCTCGGTCTCCAAACAGATTAAAGTTCATGTTGGTTTGAGGTGCATGAACCCAAACCTAACATTACTGTGCTAATGTTAGAGGTTATAACTCAGCCCAACAGTTTGTGCCATGGATCTGTGGCAGAACTTGATATACTTTCAAAACAGGCCAGATATTCACATATAGAGGTTTTGTTTTATGACCATAAGAGAGATAGTTGAATACTGTTTAACAATCATAATGTTGCGCCTTTAACTGCTTCACTATGGTGAAAAAAACTGTTTTGACTCAACTGATCATACCACTTTTTATGATATTCGTTGATAAAATGGCTACCAAAATTACTTTGCATTTGAGAGTTGATTTAAATATAAAATAAAGCACAGTGTTTCCCACAGAATGACAGTCTACCTGGGACTTGAACCCTTTCCCTTCAGTTCTCGCATTAAACACTGCACCACCTTTCTGTCTCTGTCTCCCTGTATGTGTCTACTCTATTGACATTCTCCATCAGCAGAAAGCTATGTTTGATAAAGTCTCTAAAAAGACAGAGAACTCATCTTTTGGATCTTTCCACCCGCGATTCCATTTTCAGTCACAGGTGTTCCCGCATGTGGAGGAGACTTGTTAATGATGAAGCCTAACACAACAATCAAAACCAACGTGGTACAGAATGACATCTGCACTGGTGTGTTCACTGTCGCTTTACCATGCAAAAATATCCATTGTGTCCGCATCTTGTGACATAACAGATAACAACTCTCTCTGTGTTTCTTTGCAAAAAGAAAAAGTCGCCAAATATACCTGGGACAACTTAAGTCTATGTGTGGGAAAAACTGAAGTATATAAAACAGGTTTTGAACTTGAGCAAGTGGTACATTTCTTCATAGCAACCTCTAATTTACAGTTCCTACAAGTGGGGCTATCTAACCTTTGCTGAACAGTGACAACAACGCCGCAATTAGTCTTGAATTTTCCTTAATCTCTTCTGAGATTCATTTAAACGTGATTTTTTGTTCGCCACTTGGGGGCAGTGAACAGGACATCTGATGTTATGGTGAAGGCGTTTGTAAACATTAAGTTACTTTTTTACTCCCAGCAGACATGAAGCAACATTAGCATTCATTTGGATTCGTGTCCACCTGATTAACGTAACCCCTCTCTCTGTTAGTTCTGCATAACTCCTAAGGGAAATATCTGGTTCTTTAGCCATTACGTTCACCAGTTCGACATTATTTTGTCTGTCTGCTGTTTGGTACCAAGCAGATAATTTTCTCGTGATCTCCAGATAACTAAACAGTAGTTTACACAGTTAACACAGAGGTTGGCAAGATTGTTTCTTAGTGGTAATTTCAAGGTGTCACTGATTAGCTCAGTTGGTAAGGCACAGGACTCATAGTTTAAGTTTGTCTGTTATGAAGATGACTTATTCACATGCTCACAATTAATCACAAGCTGGATTCCCCATCATTTCCAGGCAGAGGAAATTCATCCGCTTCTCATTCAGGGAAATCCATTTAACTACACATTTCCTGACGTCAGGAAATGTGTGACTGGATTTCCCTGAATTTCTTCATACCAAATTGTTGAAGAGAATGATTAAAAACACAAAGAAGAATAAAACCTTTGCAGAGAGCAGGGGTTGAACCTGCAACCCACGGGAATCAAGTCCTGGGCTCTACCAACTGACCTACCTACTGACTTGCCACGGAACTATCATAAAGAAACGCACCGGCCGACTCCTGTATTCAGCTATGGTTCGCTATCTTGAGATCACAAGATAATATCCCATTATCACAGGAAAACAGAGTAAAACAAAATATTTGAATCGATGGCCGTTTAGGGCTTCTGTAATTAATATATATATATATATATATATATACACATACATACTAATTTATTTGCTCAATGTCCCACCCACAGCAATATCTGATTGGTTACACATTGCGAACAATAGCCTATCAACAATGAGCAGCAGAGTTGTTGAAGAGAAGGCAGCCGAAGGTGCAATAAACATCAAAATCTAATGATCTCTTTCTATGATGACAAGCAGTGCAGTGTCCCTGTCACTGCTACGGGGTTTTCACTCAGTGACACTCTTGAAAGTGACGGCTTTTAAATCAGTCGCTCTCCCCTTACCCACTCACTGCGCTTAAACACGGCATGCATCCGTCTTCTCTGTCTTTTCACTGCAACTCTGCATCGTGATGTAACATTATATATTTATTAATATAAAAGTAACAGTGGCAGTAAAACGTTTTCTCATACTGTGATGGTTAAACTTTGCAATCAATCCACAGTTCACCTGCACGAGAGGTTTAATGACAAAAAAAATGTTTCAAAACATACCCCCTCTGTTTTTTCACAAATCGCACCCTGTTATAGCCTCATAAACAGATAACATGGACAAAAGAGAAACCATATGAGGATTTGCAAGTACAGCGCAGGTGGCTCAGCCTGAGAGGGAGAGAGGTGTGTGAGTAGCCATTTCCTGTGAGCTAAGTATTAATTATAACGTTTTTAATTTTAAATTAAATTTACAACGGAAATTTTTCAATTCCACGAAAAATTTGACAAAAAAATCATTCTTGTAGTTATTACACTACTACATAACATTTTCCCTGTCGTGCACCCCTTAGAGGCAGCTCACGCACCCCAAGGGGTGCGCGCACCACACTTTGGGAATTGCTGTTTTAGAGCTTTTCCACATAAAACAAGCTGCCTGCTGCTGCTGGAAAGGAGTTGGTGTAAAGTTGATTTACAATACAGTTGCAGGCTGGAAAACCAAAACAATAAGACATTAAAATGCTTTATAGAACTGAGGGAAACTGCAGAGCTAGGTGATAATTATCTACAGTGGGTACGGAAAGTATTCAGACCCCTTTAAATTTTTCACTCTTTGTTTCATTGCAGCCATTTTCCAAAAATCAAACAAGTTCATTTTATTTCTCAGTAATGTACACTCAGCACCCCATCTTGACAGAAAAAAACAGAAATGTAGAAATTTTTGCAAATTTATTAAAAAAGAAAAACTGAAATATCACATGGTCATAAGTATTCAGACCCTTTGCCGTGACACTCATATTTAACTCAGGTGCTGTCTATTTCTTCTGATCATCCTTGAGATGGTTCTACACCTTCATTTGAGTCCAGCTGTTTGATTATACTGATTGGACTTGATTAGGAAAGCCACACACCTGTCTATATAAGACCTTACAGCTCACAGTGCATGTCAGAGCAAATGAGAATCATGAGGTCAAAGGAACTGCCTGAAGAGCTCAGAGACAGAATTGTGGCAAGGCACAGATCTGGCCAAGGTTACAAAAAAATTTCTGCTGCACTTAAGGTTCCTAAGAGCACAGTGGCCTCCATAATCCTCAAATGGAAGACGTTTGGGACGACCAGAACCCTTCCTAGAGCTGGCCGTCCGGCCAAACTGAGCTATCGGGGGAGAAGAGCCTTGGTGAGAGAGGTAAAGAAGAACCCAAAGGTCACTGTGGCTGAGCTCCAGAGATGCAGTCGGGAGATGGGAGAAAGTTGTAGTAAGTCAACCATCACTGCAGCAATCCACCAGTCGGGGCTTTATGGCAGAGTGGCCCGACGGAAGCCTCTCCTCAGTGCAAGACACATGAAAGCCCGCATGGAGTTTGCTAAAAAACACCTGAAGGACTCCAAGATGGTGATAAATAAGAGACCAAGATAGAACTTTTTGGCCTGAATTCTAAGCGGTATGTGTGGAGAAAACCAGGCACTGCTCATCACTGTCCAATACAGTCTCAACAGTGAAGCATGGTGGTGGCAGCATCATGCTGTGGGGGTGTTTTTCAGCTGCAGGGACAGGACGACTGGTTGCAATCGAGGGAAAGATGAATGCGGCCAAGTACAGGGATATCCTGGACGAAAACCTTTTCCAGAGTGCTCTGGACCTCAGACTGGGCCGAAGGTTTACCTTCCAACAAGACAATGACCCTAAGCACACCGCTAAAATAACGAAGGAGTGGCTTCACAACAACTCCGTGGCTGTTCTTGAATGGCCCAGCCAGAGCCCTGACTTAAACCCAATTGAGCATCTCTGGAGAGACCTGAAAATGGCTGTCCACCAACGTTTACCATCCAACCTGACAGAACTGGAGAGGATCTGCAAGGAGGAATGGCAGAGGATACCCAAATCCAGATGTGAAAAACTTGTTGCATCTTTCCCAAAACGACTCATGGCTGTATTAGATCAAAAGGGTGCTTCTACTAAATACTGAACAAAGGGTCTGAATACTTATGACCATGTGATATTTCAGTTTTTCTTTTTTAATAAATTTGCAAAAATTTCTACATTTCTGTTTTTTCTGTCAAGATGGGGTGCTGAGTGTACATTACTGAGAAATAAAATGAACTTTTTGGATTTTTGGAAAATGGCTGCAATGAAACAAAGAGTGAAAAATTTAAAGGGGTCTGAATACTTTCCGTACCCACTGTATGTCATTAAACACAGTCATCTGACCCATTATCAATATAAAAATATTTATTAGTGCAACTTTAAAAACATTATCATTAGGTGACCTGACCTCAAGCAAGAAACAAAACTCCTAAGTGTACTGAACTAAGCAAGTGTTTGTTTTATTTCTTAGGAATCTTTCATCTGTAAGAGGAAGACTGTGGTATTTCGTCTTTAGAAAGCTACATATTCTCAGCCCATGTAGTAGACATTAAAGCTACATGAGGATTCTACTTTCTCTATTTTCACTTTATAAGGAAAGTGATACAACAGTAAGAGACATTATTAACTAGTCCTGCAAATCAGTGTTCTTGGAATACAGGAAACTGGGTTTGGGAGTTAAAAGAAAGAAAGTAAAATTGCTAGCTTTAGCCAATTACTTTGTACATATATAATTATGAATACACTATTAGTCAATACCTGCTCCAGCAGTCCAGAGAAGGCCGGTTTGCTGAGCGTCTCAAACAGCACTCTGACAGCGTTGAGGTCGATGCCTGGGATCTTTGGGTTGGTTTTGAAGTGGGTATCATCACTGTGCAAGCAAACAAACATCTGATTATGTGTACACTATGATGTTTCAGCGATCAGGTCAGGGACTTTGTGGTAAAGCCTCGATACGAAGGCACATGTTGCTTTGAACTAAACACAAGTCTATTCCTTCATGTGGCAGGTCAGCTGTGAATGGTAAACACACACACAGAGCAAGAGCAGCGGTTAGGTGGACACACAGCCTAAAGGTATGCAGATGTCATCATCAGCCTGGGAGCCGGGTAGCGAGAACAAACTGACAACCACGCCTACACAAATCTAACAAAACCCTTAGCATGAAGGTCAGAAACTATTTACAGTGTAAGCCTTCACATTCTTATAGCACAGCTTTTATTTAGCCATAACACAAATACATCAGATCTGATCTTGTGTTTGCCAAACAAAAAACACTGATGCGGACAGTCTTTAAGCTGAATCCCAATGAACCGTGAGCTCAGACGCACTTCATATTAAGAATTATGTGAGCTTAGAGAACCAAACAAGAAGTTCTTTGTCAAGTAACACTAATACAATGAAAATGACGGTATGTTTTAGGTCCCCAGCTACAGTTGCAGTCAGGGATGTACTGGGACTGAAATTCAGCCCGGGACTTTGAGACGGACTTTTATGTGAGCGTCCTTTTAAATATATTTTGCAGTTATTTTAATGCATATTAGCATTTTTGTATTGTATACAGTGAATCAGATTACGCTGAAGACCTTCAAGAAACTTCAGGATGACACCTGCCTCTTCAGTTTGTAAGCAAGGCAGCTCTGCACTGAACAAGACCAGGTCAGGCAAGCCTGAGTCTGTTAGAGTACTATAATACTTACATATACTCAAAAACTACAACACATTCCCATAAAATACAGCAGCGTGTATGTGTGTGCATAAAAATCAAATCCCTAAGCTTCAGCTCTGAGTAGGCCTCTCTCTGGCTCAGCTTCCCCTGTGCTGGACCCTGACTCTGCTTTTACTGATTGTACAGCTACATATGCACAAGAAGAACATCAGTAATAAATATGACTTACAATAATCCATTCTCTAATTCTAAAAACACACTGTCCCTGTACCCGTCACTGTTTTATCAGGTTCTATTTACCTTCTCCTCCTGCTGATTCTCTTCCCTGACCTCCTCCTTCTCCTCCTGCTGCTCCTCATCTTTCTTCTCTCCCTCCTCATCAACATGACTGGGGTCATCATCAACCTGTCCCTCTGCATCACCTCCACTGACCTCAACAGCTAATGTACATGACATACAGAGATTCCTCGGTTAATGTGGCAAATCTTATGCCAACATTTTTTCTTCTTAATTCTTATTTTTTCGGCATCAAACATTTCTTTTTCCTCCTTCACTCTCTTCTCCACATTTAGGCTACTGTCTCTGTTGAGCTTATCACACTACCCAGCGCTGACTTCAGCCCCGAAAAAACGTTTGGAGATGAAACTCGCTCCAGATGGAAAGTAAAATGAAGATCGGTCCAAGTTGGGAGGGGCAGCTTGCACACCCCCTTCCATATTGAAAGTATTGGTTTGGCCCAGTCAGACACACAGACAGAGTTCGCTGCAACAGACCGGCCAGCCGGCGCGTTCGCAGATCATAAAGTAAAACAGAAACTGAAAAATAAAAACTCCTGACCCCTGGCTGGTTTGGCCTGAAATAGACCGGCCGTTCGGGAGCAATCCCATTGGCCAGTCCGCCCCTGGTTGCAGTTTTTTCAGCAGACAGTAGAGCATGAAGTACTTCACGTTGTCTCCAAAGGTCTGTTTTCCACCCTGATGGCCTGCATAGTTCCTTCCCTGGACATGATAAGTATCTGCTGAGGAGTCTGTACTAAAAAGCCATCAAACCAACACTCAGCCTGATGGTCAGAGAAATTTGGAGTCTCACAGATGTCTGTGACCAAACAGATACCATCTTTCTCAGCCCCGACCATCAGCACGTTTTATTGGATAAGATGACATATCATAATAAAGTGAGTGGACCCTGTGAGGTCCCTGCAAAATCAGTTCCCAGGAGTCTTAGTTTACACATGAGTCTGTGTATTCAGGCACTGCATAAAATGCATTTTTTTTCTATTTCATTTGGGTGCGCATGCCTAAAACAAACTACTCACTGTATGATTAAAACTAAAATGTGAATGACTCGTCGTAGTGACTTGCTATTTGCTAAAGCATGAGGAGAGGTTCAGTGGGGTTTTGATGTCAAGCATGACGGCAGTTTGTAGCGTTGGTTACCTGTATTGACGGAACACACACATAAAGGGCTTCACTTCAGGGTTTTTCATGGCTCAGAATGGGCCTTTAGGGGGTGACTTCGCACGACAGTAAGCATGATGGGTATGCGTTCAGTAAAGGCAATGACTTACCTAATGACCGAAATCTATGCATTTTCTTGTTATTTCTGACCATTTCATAAAAAAAATTATATATATATATATATATATAAAGTATAATGTTAGTATAATATATTTACATGTTACACTTTATTTGGATTGATGATGATGGGTAACAAAAATAAAAACTGTGAATACAGAACGACAAGTTAAACATTTCTAAAGTTTGCTGTAGTGCCTCAACCTTTTTTTAATGTTCTGCTTACTCCAGGCTGTGATTTGTTGGTTAATGAAAGTGACTTTGACGAGGCACTACACACACGGCTGCATGAAAGGTTCCGATCTCCCTGCGGAGATTGGCAGGCAGGTGAGAACGGGAACGAGTGAGCATCACGTAGTGCCCAGAGAAGCTGATTTAGAGAGGGCAGAGGAGTGAACTGGTGCCGGTATGCCAAACAGTAAAATGTAAAAGTGACTACCAGCACATTCAAGCATAAACGGCTTTAATATTGTGAGAAATAACAGGAAGTCATTAGCGCAAGCTTTGTAACGGAGTGTTTTATCCCTTATATTTTATTCTATTTTACTAATTTTATATTTATCTTAAACGTGTATTTTAGTCTGTTCAATGTTTTCATGCTTTTATCTTGTATTGTTTTTGTATTATTGTCTTTTGGGTATTATTGTCTTTTCACTTGTTAAAGCACTTTGTAACTTGTTTTTGAAAGGTGCTCTACAAATAAAGATTATTATTATTATTATTATTATTCTTCAGGCACAGTTACACCATACAGTCTATGAGTTAAACCAACGCAGCAGCTGGATGACTCCTGCATTAGCACTGGATGTCTCCATCTTGCATTTGCGCAGGTCGAGTAATTATACCAACAAAGTCACCTGTGACCATTCGATGACGTAGGGCGCACGCCCCAGTATAAAACCCTCACATCATCACATCTGTTCCTACAGAATCTTCTCGCCCAGATTCCGAATGACAGACAACTCTGGCGGTCATCCAGAATTCATAGAACCATAGTTACATTTGTAACTCTCGTTCTATTTCATTCTTCCTGACTACGGTGCTTTAGCACTGGATGACTTATCCCAGTAAGGTCACGAGGAATGCTTACCGTGCTATGGAGTGGAAGCAGTTGACAGGACAGCTGCTGCCACCGCGTGGGGAGCAGCCACATTTACCCGGTAATAGCGAGCAAAGGTACATGAAGACTCCCAGACCCCTCTCAGGGCTGCCCAGGATGTGGACACACTCCAAGTAGAGTCACACCTAACCTTCCTAGGTGCCGGCAGGCCTTGCGACCTATAAGCATGCAGAATCACATCCACAATCCAACTGGAAAGTTTCACCCTTTCTACAACCCCCATTGCATACAAAAAGGTTGTCAGACTTTTAAGTACCTCAGCAGTGGCCTCCACATAAGCCTTTAGGGCCCGAACTGGTCACAGTAGCTGTGACAGCTCTTCTGCGCCTTCAGATGAGCCGGGTGGACTGAATGCAGCCAACTCGATGGTTTACATGCGAGGAAGGTCCCCGCTTTGACAGGAAGTACAGATTCAGTAGGAGAGTAACTCCTGACCCATCTGGGTACCAACGCAGGCACCTCGGGCTCACTGATAGGTGACAGCAAGCAGAAATGCTGTCTTAGCAGACAACCACCTCAACTCTGTCTGTCCTAGTGGTTCAAATGGGGGTAGACCCAAGAATCTCAAAATCTCAAAAAGTCCCATGGTGGCACTACAGTGACGCCTGATGGTCTAAACCTCTGCGCGCCACTCTCACGTGCCCTGCTGAAATGGCAGCTTCATACACTTTCAATGTCGAGGTGCACCTGCCGCCGTCCAACAACGACTGCAGGAAACACAGAATGCTGGTGACTGAGCAGTTCTCCGGTACCTCACCCTTTTCCGTGCACCACTGGGAAAAAAAGCTTCCACCGATTAGCATACAGTGACTGAGTGGAGGGAGACTTTGAACTTAACAGTGCGGATCACTGACTGGTCACAAGATGCCAGGAGTGGGTCCTGGCTTCCAACGGCCAGACACACAGCTGAAGGTGGTCCGGATTCGGATGCCATATGCGTCCCCCCAGCTGAGAGAGAAGGTCCGGTCTCTTTGGGAGGCACCATAGCTCCCCACTGAGCAACCTCAGAACCACTGGCAACCATGGCCTCCCCGGCCAGTTGGGGGCCACTAGCAGCAGTTTGTGGCCTCTCTGTCGGACCCTCTCCAGCGTCACCCGAATGAGTGGAATTGGAGGGGGATGTAAAGACAGAAGACCCAGAGGGATGCCAGCAAACCACTGCCTGGCTTGATCTGCTGAGCCGCTGGTCCAAACATTTGACCCGGCACCACAGGAAGGGAACAAAGGGTGCGACAACACCCCTCGGACAGAGGGGACTGCGCCAGCCATACCTGGCACTGTTGACATCAACCTTCCAAGCTCCCTAGACATAAATGCAAAGGCCTGAAGGGATGCATCACTAAGAGTCTGGGCTGAGGAGCCCACACCAGAGTCCTGCAGGGTCTGAGACAGAGCCAGGATGAGATGAGAAAAGGAATTACCAATACAGCCCATGCGTGCCGCTATGCTATAACTGCTGGCGAGGAGATCATCAGTCAGTCTACACTGAGAACGAGGGCAACACGCATCCTGTCTGAGAGCCTCATCAGGTGACACAATCAATGACGCAATAGTAGGCTCGACTGGGGCCATACGGTCTAAACGATAGTTATCTGCATCCTGCATGGCAGCCAAGTTCCTGCAATCACTGGTGTGATGAGAGAGTAACTTGGGGTCTGACCAGCATCTTTGGAGCTCTTCAATATAGGGCTTAGAAGGAGGGACTGAGAAGGCAGAGGGCTGCGGCATCTGCCTGAAAAAAGCACATGAAGGTGCTGGCACGCTAAAGCCATGCGAATCAGGTTTCAAGGCTAAAAGCGACGAGCCGAATTGACCTGTGTTGTTTCCATAGACAGTATATTACTAGACAAAGCCACCCTGCTGATTTGAATGGAGAGCAGTGAAGACAGACAATAATACTACTATAGGACTACTTCCTGTTGGCACCAGCGTCTACTGAGCATGGTCGCGCAGCATAACTGTGGTTTAATGACGTAGAACGGCAGAAACACCGTAATTTAGATGCATAACTGCGCCAACAAAAAGTCTCACGGTTCTGTGTGTTTGTCTGACTCCACCTACGAGGCTCACCTTTCAAACACCAATGCAGCGTCACTGATCGCCGAATAGTTTTTTTAGATTGCCGAGAGCTTATAATCACAGGTGTCACAGGGTTTTGATGCCATTTTTGGGCCTACATAGATCCCTCCATGCAGGCTTTGGTCGGCTTCACTGTCCGATCTCTGGCTTACCCCCTTGGTTGTTTCCTCAATGCGAGAAGATTGAATGAACAGATTGCGTGATGATGTTAGGGTTTTATACTGGGGTGTGTGCCCTACGTCATCACATGGTCACTGGTGACTTTGTTGGTATAATAATAATAATAATAACAATAATACATTTATTTATAGGCGCCTTTCTGAACACTCAAGGTCACCTTACAAAACATAATAAAACAGTACAGCAATAATCGATAAAATTAACAACTATAATTACAGTGCATAAAATCAGGGTACATAACATCTGGAAACAAAGAGTGAGAAAGAGTGATCACGTGGGATATGCCATTTTAAAAAGATGTGTTTTCAGGCGGGATTTAAAAATGGAAAGTGTGTCAATGTTGCGGATGTCTGGTGGAAGAGAGTTCCAGAGATGAGGGGCAGAGCGGCTGAAGGCTCTGAACGGGATGTGACCAGTGTGTGAACAATAATGGCTGTACGTACTAGTGGGTGAGAGAAACGGTCGGAGGCGATTAATGTTATGTAAATGGAAGTATGCAGACAGAGTGATATTATTAATGTGAGCTTGAAATGAAAGTGTCCTGTCGAGGTATAATTACTCAACCTGCGCAAATGCGAGATGGAGAAATCCAGTGCTAAAGCACCGCCGTCTGGCGGTCAGGAAGAATGAAATAGAACCTCTTTGGGGGGCGCCAAAAGTGCAGGAAAAGCCCTGCACTTGCTCTTCTAGACAGCAGGTGTGTGTTTCATCTACAGTGCAATGTACACTTACCTACCTAACCAGCTTGGGGCATGATATCACCTCTTTATTTGTTCAGTCTGTACTACAGTACTATTTTTTATGCTTCATCCTTTCACCATTTGATCCGTTAAAGGTCAATTTCACCAGGGTCACAAGATAAATCTGACGGGGTTGTGAGATAATAATGGGAAAGGAAAGAAGAAAAAAGTCCTTTTGCAACAGACTTTTTGTCTAATCTTTGCTTTTTATTTAGCAGTTATTTGAAACTGAGGGGAAATGTGTCTTTGGATGAACTGCTAACAACTCACATCTGAAATGTGGCAAAGGGCGCCCCAACTGGACAGACACCGCTTTATATTAAAGGGTACACGAGCAAAAAAGGTCAGGAACCACTGGTTTAATATTTAAAAATGCAGTGTATTTTTCATATCTGTTTTATGAAAAATCTTAACCTAAAAAGATTCACTCAAAAATTGTACTAAAGTACAGTACTTGAGTTGAGTACTTAAAACCTTTACATTATGTAAACATGGAGTTTACATACCTTTGGTCCAAGAAGCTGGCGTTCCAACAAGCCGTGGAGGAGAGATGAATTACAATGTCACTGCGCACAAAAACATAAAGACAGAGTTAAAAGACCATTAATACTAAACATCTACAAGATATACTATACAATCCAATCAATTCCAAATAACAACTTTTATTTTTTACTTACTTTGTGACACTAGAATCTGGGCTGTACATCAGCTTTAACCTCCATGAATTTAATCTTTCATAGTTGATTGGGGAGAGTGATTTACTGACATTAATCACTCTGAAGTCTTCTGGGGGGACAAAACTCTGCAGAGAGGAAGATAAACACAGACACCATAACTGCACTGTCACAAACATTTAGAAGATTGTTTGCACTGGAACTTCCACAGTGTTTGTGACAACAGTCCAGCACTGGGCTTCAGTGTGGGTTGTGTCAATTTCCTCCATCAAGATAAAATAAACAGGCCACGCCTGAGGTCTAAATATTTTGCTGTAGAGGCTAAATGTGTGTTATGTCTACCAGTGCACATTCCTGACTCCATATACAGTTTAGCTCCAATATAAGAACTGGTAAACACTTAGACATTAATGCCACCCTGTGGTGAAACACTGAAACTAATTAAAACTGAAAGCATCAACAAAAGAAAGGTCATTTTGAGTGTCCATCCACTCTCTATTACCATTTATCCCTTGCAGGGCCGTGGGGTGCTGTAACCTGTTCATAGCCTGTAACTACCTGTATCAATAGACATTCATGTAACATATATTTATATTTATACATCATTCATACCTTGCACTTTGTATATTAATGTATCATATTCTATTTAATTACTATTTAAGCACTTCAGGTTAGATTAGCTGCATTTCGTTGCGTTGTACCAGTGACATGTGCAATGACAATAAAGTTGAATCTAATCTAATCTAATCTAATCTAATCTAATCTTACTGATCCTAGCTAACACTGGGCGAGAGGCGGGATACACCCCAGATAGGCTGTCATCACAACGCTGACACACAAACAACCATTCACACTCACATTCACTCATTTGGGGTGTCTGTTTTTTAGCTGTGTATATCGCTATTGTTTCAATCAGCTATTTTTTATGTTGTTATTATGATTATGTTAAGGTTTGTGTTGAGGGTAGTCAAGTAGTGCTGAACGGAACTTACCAAAATATAACAACAACAAGCTGTAACTATCTTTAGAGAGAAGGTCACACAAAATCAAATCACATACCTGTTCATTTGAATACAATAAGAAACTATGGTCTCCTCCACAGATGATTTTGGTCACTGTATATTGTTTTGACCCTAATAAAGAAAGGAAAGAGAAACACCACGTTAGCTGGACAACATTTTAACAGTTAATCAAATAGTTACTTAGAGTATAGATATTGTAGATTATAGATCCAATAGATTATATAATCAGCAAACACTTTGACATCACATGATGAACGCTGATTATTCCAGTACCACAGACTACAGTGGAGTTATATAGCTTTTCTCATGACTTTTATTGCAGTTTATTAAGCATCGCCTTTCATCCTTTGTTATGCCTCTGTACATCAGCTCTGTCACACCCAGTGAAGTTGTTACTAGCTGACAACACTATTAATGCCTTCTAACTAGTAAGCAAGTCAGATTTTCAGTTTATTTAGTAGAGCACCTTTCACAGATCAAAGTGACAAAGAATAAACCGATTAAAAATAAAACCCTTAAGTAGTAAAACAAACAACAGTAAAATATAGGCAGCAACAGACCTTAAAAACTTATTACAAACACTAGATGGCATGAGGCAAGGCCAGTTTGATGGCACAAGTCTTTAGCTGCTTTTTTAAAGGCTTCATCAGAGATCGCAGAACTTATGT